AGTTTTTCCCCCCTCATTTAACCTGGAGAGAAAAGTTCCCTTCTTAGATTTGAGTATGGGGTTGCGAGGGAGGAGGATGGCCAACTGCTGTGGCTTTTGACTGGCCGTAGCCCAAGATTTGTTAGCTGCTGCCTCTGCTGTCCCTGCCTCCATTGCTTACCTTCTGGCTATAGCTCAGCCATGGCCCCACTCCAGCCTGGCCTGGTAATGTTGATGGAAGCACCATTTCCAGCCCAGGCTATGGCTCCAGGACCCGGACAGAGTTACCACTACCACAATAGCTGCATGACCAGGTTGGACCAGGGCAGGACTGGAGCCGGGGAGGGAAGGGGGTGCTAAAGTTCAGGTGCCATAGCATGCAGATATGGGTGGTAAGGGGGTGCAGGTGCTGAGGGGCAGGAAGAAGTTGAGGGGCAAGGTCTGGCAGGGGGCAAAAGAGCAGGGACCTGGCTGCTTGCCAAGCTCCTCCTCTTCCTCACCCTGCCTCTTTTCTTGCTGCAGTGGTGAGGGGGACACATTGCAGGGTCAATTTCAATAATGAGATTCTATACATGGAAAATCATAACGAATACATTTTCTCTGCATAGAATATATTGAATAGTGTTATCTTTTATATTCAGTCTTCTTGGCTTTGGAAAAATATAGTAGTTATGGGAGTGGATTTGAATTGAAACATGTAAGTGCATGTACATATGCAAATTGAAGATTGAAGGGGAATTAACACAAACTTAAGAGACCTGCTTTTCCTTCATGATGAGACTGAAATTCAAATTTCAGTCTTAGCAGTTTTAAAACGAACACTGTAGTGTGGAGAAAGGAAGCACTGTGGGGCTGTTGCTTAGCTTTTTAACACTAACTTGTGAAAGAGTCTACTACTTAGACTGCTTCAGTGTGACATGTTGCAGGGTAACCAGACAGCCTGCATACTGATGGCAATTCACTGCTGCAGCAAAGTAACTTCTAGCAGCTGAGTTGATATATGGATGTTTTTGTAAATAAAAAATTCTATAAAATTTGATAATAGGGTATAAAATATTACAAACATTTTCTGTAATGTAGGTGTTCAAATTTTGATTATTTACTGGATTCGCATGATCAACTACTAATAGCTAGTTTAAAATAATGAGGATTTAGGTTTATTGTACCTTTTTATATATTCTTCTGAACTACTCAGGACATTTTTAACTGAATTGATCAAGTTACTATGATAGAAAGCATAACTTTTTAGAGACTACAATCATGTATGTACAATCATGTTTGTATACATAAATGTATACAAACTATGTATATTGTCTGTATACATTTTTATAAGTGTTGCATGTTTAGAAAATGTTGGTATCTTTTGAGTGTTTTAGCTTCTTAGGCATCTTCTTCATATAGCTGAAGAATCCTACTAAGAGGGACTTCACTAATTCACAAGTTTGTAAATGTTTCTCTGCCAAATGTAAGTATTGCAGGCATTTATTTAAGGACTTTCATGGAGGGTAATAGCATTGGTTAGCATTGAACATTAGCAGTTCGGAATTAATTTTTTTTATGCTAGGTCATCTGCTTCAGGCTATGTATATGGCTTTTTAAAATTGTGCAAAACTAGTGCATCTAGTTCCAAGAACATGTTTAGGGACAAATTCATCTTTTTGCCCTCACTAAAAAAAGACACTACAGCAGCTTAATTGAGATGCTTTAGTGTCTTTACTATGTGGCAGGCAGTTTAAATGTGATAGATAGGCTTTTGGAAAACCTTGATTCGTGCATGTTTTGGAGACATTTTGTTAGTGTTTTGGCAGCTAAATTCTCAAATGAGTTTCTCTCTCTCTCTTGGTTTCCAGGACTGTTTTTCTCATGTGTAGGTGAAGGGGTTAAGAGCCAATGGAGGGTGGAGCCTGGGGAAGGGAAATGGGGGTGGAAGAATAGATCTTCATTGCAAAGAACTCAGACTAAAACATCAGAATGTTTTTGACACTGGGTTCCCATTTGAAATTTCTGGGTTTATCTTGTGAATCATGTAGGTGTTTGCATGCTTGACTGCTAATATTTCATGGAATGCTGTAGCATTCTTTAAAAGGATCTCATGGTACCAAGCTTAAGAATCACTGGTGTAACATGATGAATCTTAATTTTTTTCTTCTCAGCAGAACCTAGGAAAGTAGATACTAGCCATATCTACACGAGGCGCTGACTGCACAGTAGGTTGTTACTACTGTGCAGGAGCATCATATGGCAGGAAGTGTGATTCAGTGCTACTGCACAGTAGTAATAAGCTATTGGACAGTCAGTGTCACCAAAAAGCCATTCGGTGATGCTACTGCGCGGTAACTCCAGCTACTGCACAGTTATTTAGTACTTGTTTATACAAGTACTAAGTGACTGTGCAATAATGACTGTGCAGTCAGTGTCTCATGTAGATGCAGCGACAGTAAACTATTGAAATAAGATATAAAGTTGCAATTGCAGTTATTCAAACTTGGGAACTAGCAAAATAATGTGGCCTGTACAAACTTAATTCGTCATATGCATATTATAATGTGCGTATACATCATAATGCAGGCTTTAATTGCCTGACTGCTTTTCCACTGGATCCCTATTCCATTCTATGCATAAATTGAAATTTTATTGAATAAGGATATGTTTAAAGTGTTTTCTTCTCGAACCGTGAAGATAGGATGATTTAATTTCCTCATTGGTATGGAATTGAGGCATGGAGGTTAACATATATGCATCCACTGATTTTTCTCCCCCCCCAATCTTTTTTTCGATGTGCAGTTGGAGATACCAAGGACTTGATTTTTTTTCAAAGCATTCACTGTTAAAGTAACAGTTCTCACTGACCTCAGTTGGAGCTGTGAGTGCCCACTTATGCAAATCTAACCCCAACAGTCTTAAATCTGCCACTTAGAAAATGATACACACAGGCCACCTATGAAAAGCCTGGTTTCAGGTATTTGACTAGTTTCCCATAGGAACTCTAGCAGGAGCATGGGTAGTGTCCTATTCAGGGAGCATTTATCTGCTTTAATCATGAGATCATTTTTTTTTCCATTTGTTACAGTTCCTTGGCTCATTTTGACTTCTGTGGCACATAAGGTGAGTGTCTTACGGACAGTGTAGCTGTGAACGAGCTAGCTCTGGTAGTGGAAGCAGTGTATCTGCAGCAGGTTGTTCACAGCTAGATCTGGTATCTACACTGTGTTACAGACTATGCCATAGTTCAGTTGCCAGCTCTTAACTTCCAGGTTCCTTCTATGCAGAGGAGCTCAGCTGGTTATATTTTAGGAATACCTTTTCCCATGTAGTTTCCCAGCCCCATTATCAGGGTGCTGACACTCCTACTGATCTCTGTAGCTCTCTATGGCCCCCAAGAGATGTTAAAGGTGTGATGGGATCTGATGTATGATCCCAACAGTCATGCTTCCTGCCATGCCACATGTGCATGAGAGGAGGTACAATTGGCAGGATTGAGCATCAGATCCTATTGCAACATTGTGGGGGGAGCCTAGCATCAGGATCCCAGGCTCCTCTTGTACTGGTAAATAGCAAGCTTGTCTCTCTGTGCTCTCCTGGCTGGGAGGCCTGATTAAATGGACGCTGCTCCCAGCCTTTAGAACACATGGGAGTCCTCAAAGTCTCCAATTCTGGAGGCTGGGAGTACTGGCACATTCAATTAAAGACGTGACAGGAACCAGCCACAAAGTTATTGCACGTTTTTGTGTAATGATTTTGTGGTTTATTCCTTATTTTAGCATGCCATTAAAGGATCAAATGTGTGATCAGGTCATTACTTAAAAGTGTGATTAGCCAGTTAATCACAACTTAAGTGTAATGTCTGTCAGGAGTCTATTTTAGGTCTGTGCTTATACTGGCTGACTTATTCAGGCCACCTTTTTATTGCTTGAAAGCTTCGCGGCAGGCTTCTCTTTCAAGACTTTTCCCACACTTAGCTCTTTTTTCCAGAATGACATGAAATGAGTTGGATGGTTGTTGATTGGCTCAGACCCGCTGCTGGAAAGGGAACAGACCAGTCTGTTTTATAAAACATCATTATAGCCATTGCTAGTAGTGCTCTTTACCATTAAACTTGCCTTACACTTCCTGTTGCAAGACTGCATTTGTTTGCATATCATTTTACCAAACATAACCATTTGGGCCTAGGCTCATGTATCCCTATAGTTGCAGAATCTGGAATCCAAGTTGCTTATGATTCCCAGTCCCCTAGTGTAAATTCTTGGGAATGCTACCAAGTTCATCAGTGAGTCAGCCCTGGCAATCTTACTCCCTTTTGAGCTACTTAACACGCACTCTACTTAAGTGGAAGGGAAATAAAATTTGTGTAAGGTGTATGCCAAAGAAATGCATCTTTCTAATGGCATTGCTCTAATTTGTTTCCTTTTTTTTTTTTGCTAACAACTCCATTGGATTTATTAAGATTTTGGGGACTATGAACAGTGACAGTTGTAATAAAGTTATATTTAAGTAATGTTTAGCAATGAAGGAATCTGGCATTATTCAGCTCTTGCTATCTGGGGGTCAGACCTGGTGATCTCGGGGGTTGGACCTGATGATCTGTTTAGGTCCCTTCTGACCCTAAGCACTATGAAATGATATGTAACAATTTTCAGACAAAGGAATTTGACAGAACTTAAGTAAAAAAATATACATTGCAGAACAACATAAAAAATACAGATGTGAGAAAAGTATATGTTGGTAATCTTGGCACTAAAATTTGTGCATCTTAACAGTAGAATTTGTGAAATTGCTTATACAAAGGTAATATTTATACCAAAACTCAAGAGATGTAATGAAGTACAGCTGGAACTAAATGTCAATCAATAATACTATTAGACATTACATGCTTTAGAATTTTGAAATGTTTTATTTACCCAATAAAATACAACCATAAAATCTCATAAGACACCACAAAGTTAAAAACAAAACAAATTTATTAATAATCTCAAAAAATAAACCCTATATATTTTTACTGGAGATGATCACATGAAGCAAAATCCTATCTGCATACAAGGTCCGTTGCCTAGGTATCGCCATTCTAACATCAAGAGCTATGGATTTTGCAAGGAAGTTACTTTATTGAAAGCAGTAAATTCTTTAAATGTATTGAAAAGATATATGCCACAGGTGGATGCATTTTTTTTCTTCACTTGCAAGTGCAAATATTCTCCAGGAAATTAATCCCTTAAAAAGGAATGACAGTCATTCTGTGGTGTGTATCTTTTATTGACATGAATTTGGAATGACCACATTAAATGATGACACCACAAAGAAACCGTTCGTACCTTGTTTAGGTAATTATTAAAAACAACTCCTGGATATTTTGATAAAACAGCATGGGCTTGTAGTCCTTATGCACAGCATTTTTTTTTTTATTGCTAGGTGGATACTTTCAAAGACCATTCTAGTGATAGTATCTCTGGATGGCATGGTTTGCTTTCACAATCGATCCAGAAACTTTGAAAAAGTTGAAGAAAAATTAAACTTAACTTTTGTTACAGTTCGTTGTAATTATGAAACTCGTACAATGTGTCTCAGTTTGGTGGAATCTTTTGTGTTGTTTTGGCTGTCAATTAGAACAAGGGATGTGCGCTGATGATTTTCTATTATTTCAGCAACACTGTCAAAGCGCTGGATTGAGAAAAGAGAAATCCATTAGAAGTCATTTACACTGTGTGGCTAACATTGGCAATTGCAAAGACCATTTTCTTTTCTTTCTACCAGTTTCAGTACATGCGATGATAGAACCATGGGCTCCTCTGAGGGGAATGGATAGCCCTAATATAGTGCTTTAAAAACAACTTGAAAGTGCTATTCAAATTGAGTGGACATTACAAATCAGTTCAGTTCAAATTATATCAAAAGTGCTCCTGGATGAAACAGATTGCCCTGAAACACTTCACAATAATGCTTTAGCTAGGAAGCAGTTGTATGTCTATATGCTATTGAAGCACTACAAAGTGCTCTTAAATAGAAAACAAAAACAGAATTTGAAGCACTTGATATATCTGTTTCTGTATACCCTAAGGGTGTTACCAAGTGGTGGCTCTGCTGTTCCAAAACTTAAGCATGCTGTGTCTACAACATTCTTGGCTTCCTTTAGCACAGAATTCCAGCATAGCTTGGTAGAGCTAGTAGAACAGAGAAAATATCAGTACCCATAATGGTACGTTTCTGGTGGCACATTTACAGCAATAATGAAATTGTTCTCCTACAGCTAATCTTATGAAAAGGATTTGGAGGATCCTAGCCTGTGTATCTTATCTCAAATTGTTTTAGGTGATCTGGGAAAACTGTTGGCTTATAAGTAATTAGGAATAAGCCTATTAGCTACCAGACCAGCTGTCAAAGAAAGCTCCAAACATCAGGAAATCTTCAGTCCCTTTCTTTAGAAGTGGGTTTATTTCTTCATGTAAAAACAGTCATACAGGGTTCTACTACCTTTCCTCTTGGCTCAGGCCTCCTGCAGAGGTGGCTCTCTCTCCTTGACTTTCTTGATGTCCCTTTAACTGATGCATCTGCAGACCATCATCTGTTCTCTGGCTTCAGACCCATCACCTGAGAGGCAGCTTGACTAGGTTCAGGTAAAGCTAAGTCAAGATCCCTCAAAGGCCATCCTAACCTGTGAAAAAGCTGGGGGGTTTTTGGTTTTTGTTTTAATTTATTTTAAATCAGTATTTGGGTTCCCAGTCTCCATGCAGCTTTCAAAACAGCTGAATTATGCAAGTGGCATAACATTAAAACTGGAAGAGTTTTAACAGTTTGCATCCTTCCCTTTTTGGTAGGTACTGGGCAGAGGTGAGTGAACGATTCTAACTACATTTCTTTACCCTTTTTTTATGGCTGCTCTTTATTAATGTAATGTGAGCTTCAGAGAAAGGGTGGAGAGAAGTAGTTCCTGAAAGGGTTGAGAGTTTAGATTAAACTACAGCTCTGATCCTGGTGATGACTGTCCAAACATGTATATTTAAAGGCTTCTTACAATTTGTGATAAATTAGAATTCAGTCTGGATTTAAAGTACAACTGTTGTATTCATTTTCCAGTGTAAGGGATATATCTATTGTTTTATGGGTATATTTTCTATTTTCAGGCATCAAGACCTACACTCTTCACAGTGTAATTTTAAAATACGTACTTTAATCTTTATCTACATATGCAAAAGGTTGAAACAAGAAAAATCACTCACCTCCTCACCATTTTTTTCTCTGCCCAGTGCATATTGTTTTGTTGATTCAATAAATCGCACAGGAATATTATAAACTCTCTTGTTATAAAACACAACTAGTGTATATGGTTGCTTTGAGTCTTGTCCAGAGCTCTTCCTTATTAGAAAAGACCCATCCTAAAATAAGAAACAATGCAGTAACTTTAATAGTTTTCAAAAAAAAAATTGTAGCAGCTTGCTACTTGTTGGTGTCATTGAATTTGTATCATTATTTAATATAACCAATGGAAAAAAATGATGGTGGGGGAAAAAGCTTCCTCTCAACTAAACTTATGCAGACGTTATTTAGCAGGCTTCACTGTTGTCTCAAAAGCCTCTGTCACTGCTGCTGCATGTGCTCTTTCACCCACAGAGACAGGAAGAAAATGAGCATGCAGCAGCCTGTACAGAGGCCATTTTAAGTGAAGGCTTTACAAGCTACTAATGGTAGTGAAAAGGCAAGAAAGGAGCGAAAACCTGAGAGGATGAAATATTTGCTGCAGCTTTGTAGAAGCAGCAAAGAAAAGCTGAGAGTGCTAGTGTCAGGATATGCTTCCTACGCAGCAACATCCTACGCTAAAAATTACCCCTGTGTTCTGTCCCTTCTGCCTGGTGGAAACATAAGTCCTTTCCAACCTTGGGAACCTGCCTGGTAGTCCTGGTTTTGCCTTATATTTGATGCCCCCTATGGCATTGGACAGAACTTCCAGTGTAGGTAGATATGATCTCAGACGAGAAGTTGAGGTAGTATCTAAAATACTGATTTCTAAATACTCTGTAGTGGTATGTGTGTGCATGTGCTCCAAATGTGGTAGCACCAGTTCCTATGGATACTAGCACTTTCATATGAGATGGTAGGCAGTGCTAGCTGATCTGTGACATGGGGCTTAATCAACAGCTGTGCATTACTGCCTGCACCCATCAGGGATGGACATGAACTAGCAGATCTTTTCTCTCTCTTGTTTTCTACAGTACTTTTACCTTCTATCAGACTGTGGCATTAGAGAAACAGAACAGGAAGCTCCTATCAAGGGGCAGTATCCAAAGAGTTTAGAGCTTACTTCATCCAAATTAGAATCCTCCAGGGAGAGTCTTCTAACTTGTTCAACATGTAGCCCAACCTTTCTTGGAATACTTCTAGTGTGTTCCTCATTCTGTATTTCTAGATTGTCCCTAAAAGAATGAGACTGTGAATGTGAACAATTTGCTTTACCTTATTTGATCTGTATAATGCATCTTCTGCAGTTTTGCGATCACAGTCAGCAGCATACCATGTTTTACTATGAACACCAGCATCCTGTAAGAGAAAGAGAGAGAGAAGCACTGGTTTTCTTTGATAAGACAGAGCAAAATGAGATGACTGTTTCATCACTGGATTTTGTTGTAATACACAAGCTGTAAATGGGGAATAAACAATGAACCACTTGTACAGTGAGCACTTCAAAATAACAGATAGGTAAAACAAGCATCTGCCAGGAGCTTATATCTTAATTGGACAGATGCAGCGCAAAAAAAAGCGAGCATGTTCAAAACAATTTAAGTGGATTAGTAGTGAATGGTTATGGGGGTAGAAATCCCTAGAGGAGAGGTTTCCATGTAGAGAAAATGATTTTGTTTTTTTAAGCAGAAGGCTATTCCAGTGGAAGATGTAGAAGGAGTATGAAAGATTTGAAAGTTTTTTCCGTTAAGTGCAAAAGTATTTATTTAAATACAGGATTTTTAGTTATTCTTTGACCTACTACTTTAACGTAATCAAATTTCTCACCCTCCAAAAGGCCTACATAAAGCTGTCCATGTGTAAACACAGACTTGGGAATATAAATACATATTTTGTCAAAAATCTGACCTAACTTGCTCATAGTCAGAATAAGAGGGCCCTTGTACATGGGAGAAGATTGCCCGTTAGTGGTTTAATTGCATAAGTGTACACATTTGACAGCATGTTATGATTAAATTTTGTAACAGTAAACATGTTCGGCAGTGTATTTCAATTTAAATGACTTTTTTATGTAGCAAGCTAAAACACATCTCCTGTATTTTAGTTTGCTATGTAACAAATTACAGTGAAATTTCTCGTGTACACAGGCCCTATCCAGAAAAGACACAGGGTGCTAGAAGCCAGGGCATGCCCAGGGAAGCTTGGGCTTGGCAGGTTTGCAGTGTCAGCACACCCAGCTGCCCTCCTGTCACTTTCCCAGGGTAACCAGCCCATTCCCAGGTGGTCCCAGGCACAATTGGATCTGGCAGGTGCTGCCTGTGAGCTGGGGCTGTACCTGTGCAACTAGCACCTGCTTGGGGGCACTGCTGCTGCAGAGGGAAGCACCAGGCCACCCTGCAGCTTAGGGGCTGCGTGATCCGACATCAGCTTGCATGAGTAGGCTCTTCCAGGGGAATGGCAAGGGGCCCAATTTTAAATTTCCCCCAACCCTCCTTCTCTCCCATGGCCAGGAAGTGAGCTGCTGGCAGGTCGCACAGGCCCCGAGCTGCAGGGGGCCCTAGTGCTTCCCTCTGTGAGAATGGTGATCCCTGGGCAGCACCCACTCACTGGTACACTGCCTGGGTGGTCCTAGGAGCCACCACCATGAGGAGAAGCACCCGCCAGATTGCCCCCCGGCAGCAGGAGAGGTAGGCAGGCTTGGGGGGAGGGGTTCAGAAGGATCAGGCCCCTCACTTGGTTTTTTTTTCTCCCACCCCCACCTTTGGCAGAGCCTGCCCGCTCCATGGCAGGGGGATTCCAGTGCTTCATTCTAGATCTGACTTTGCAGCATATCTGCTTGAAATGCCTCAGGATCTTCTATAATAACAACACGTTTATTCTGTCTGTCTGGAGCATGCTGGTTGTTTCAGTAAGCATTGTGATTGGCTGCTGAGACAACCAATTGGAGTGCTCTGGACAAAGAATAAGCCTATAATTATTGTAGATGCTTTTCGTACTCCTGAGCTGTGAAGATTGTTTAATATTTGAGATGCTTTGAAACCAAAGATGAAAGCCAGTGCAGAAGGGCTTAGTGTTTTCATTTAAATGATAAAATGTTCTATACAAAAAAGTGTAAAATTTTCAATAGTACTTAAATTCCATTTTCAGAAATAACTTGGTTGCTTAGTAGCCTGTGTTCTATTGTCAGTGAGGCTTGAGCTGTTCAGGACTAGATCTGCAGAGTTTTAGGGCAGAATTCTATTACCCTTTATGCACCCAAATGGCAGTTTTCCAACCACATACGGCATTTTGACATTTATGTGCAGGCTTTGATTCTGTTATCCATGTACAGTAGACAAGTACACATCCACACAGCTACTGAGCATGCATTGTTAGTGGCTGGGCAGTGCATAAAATAGAAACATTTTAATAGGAGGGATTGGGAGTGACTTGCTTTGCTGCACAGTACCATCTAATAGTAAGCACACTCCCTTGTGAAGGGGAAGATATGATTTGAACCCTCCCCAAGGCAGAAATAAAGAGGCTAGAACCCCAATTTCCCACATTCTTGATGAGTGGTCAAACTATATAAAAGAGGTTACCATCATTTTGTAAGAAAGGGCTGACAAGCTCTAGCTCCCACAAAAGGTTCAGAGCTGCAAATCAGTCATTTCAAATGTTGTTCATATAGCTTACTCTCAGGATAGCTAATATATATTTTACAAGATTTTCTGTATTTTAACCTCTTCACCTATACGTTTTATGTTCATAACATGCTTTTGTGAGGAGTGCGAGATGTCATTTTAGCTTTATATGTTAAGGTAATTGTTTAACAAAAGCTTTATAAATAACCCACTCTTTTCTTTTATGTAATAATCCAGGAGGCCTTCAAGCATGGAACAGTGTGTGTGGAGTTATGATAAATGTAATGGGGTAGAGTGGCTCAAATATTATTGTAATGAGTTTAGTATAGGAACCAATGCATATTAAAATACAGGATCAGCTTCCGACTGGAACTTTACTGCTTCCAGTCGCACACTGTCGGGAATAAGCTATACGAGTGGAGACCTTATTTTGTTGGCTCACAGTTCACAGCTGGCAAAATGAAGGTCTTTGCTGGTGTAAACCCTAAAAATCTATGAGAAATTGTATCTTGAGGGGTGTGCTGCAGCAAACAGCAGTATCAGAGAACAGTATTATTTTGGGGGAATATATTGATTTTGAGAGTAACGCTTCTTTTTTTTGTTTTTCCTCCAGTGAAATGGAGATATTTTATTTCGTTTCTTGTTTTGCCAATAACAATTATATTTGCTACAAGCTGTTTACTCCAGCATCTGCTGGATTATTTATATAAAAAAGACATTTATAATAAATATCCAGTGTGATAAACTGTTAAAATTATTCCAGAACTGCAGGTTCTTTGTGTTCCTCACTGCTGTATTATCGTTGTCATGTCAGCCTTTAGAACATTTAGTGTTACCGGCCTTGCATAATGGAGGCTTTGTTTTGCACTCAGTAGAACTATTTTTATCTTGTATGTGCACGACTACTAGGCTAATAAGGACTGCTCCTTGCAGTTAGTTCCCCCATCATCGGGGGGAGAGATTTTTGGAATAAAAGTAGCTGTACTTTCTTAGATTATTCAAAGCCTTAATGTTATAACAAAAAGTCTTCCAAATAACCACAAAACTAACTTGGTATTTGTTAGGTTCCATCTCTGCTAATATGACCATCCCCCCTCCCCAAAACAAACAAACAAAAACCCAAACCAAACAAAAAACAAAAAGAAAACCTCAACAAAACCCCAAACCTTCCTCTGCCCTCCCCTTCCCCCACTCAGACAAACAAACATGCCTTAAGGAGAGTTATGTTTTATGATCAAGATTCTGCCTCATGCATTCCACCGGGCTTCTGCATTGTAATAATTGGCAGGACCACGTTCCAGCCAGGTTGGAACATTGCTACCCAGTATGGCTCACAAGTACGCCTCTGTTTTTGTGCTAGTGCATTCTGGGATTTCTGAGTACGTATCTGCTGATGCAAGAGGTGCAGATGGATTGCTTTGATAAGCAGGTACATACTTTCAGCGAATCTAGTTAGCAGCAGAAGAAAGCTGTCAAATAGAAAAATTGAAGGGCAGTTGCATGTTTCTTATAGCTCTCTGCAGCAAGGACAAAGTGAGGCAGAACATCAAGACATACACTTGTAAGCAGGTGGGCATGCCTTCTGTGGGCAGGTTTTTGTCCCATTAGGAGCCCTTCAGACCATTCAAACCAGTGTTTCTCAACTTGTGATATGCATACCCCTGGGAGTACGTGAGACATGGACAACGGGTAAGTGTGCGCCACACTTTCAGTTTGGCCTGCACCTCCCCGCTCCCAGCAAGTTGAAGGTGTCTTTGCCTGTTTGGACAAGAAGTTCCAGCTGCCATCCCCCCCAGTGCGCTGGGGCTTTCACTCCCCAGCGTCAGTGCTGGGGGATAGGGAGGGAGGCCCTGTGCAGGCTGCTTTGCCGCAGGCCGTGGTCTGTGAGGAAAAAGTGGGACTCGGCTTGCAGCGGTGAAACCATAAGTGCCATGGTGGGACTTCCAGTTTTGCTTTTGCTGCGTTGATCAGCAGGAGGTACGTAAGGTACCAAAGGTTGAGAACCACTGATCCAAACAACAGTCCATAAGCAGGCTTGGGAATCTGTAGCCTCGCTGTCCAGCTTTGATCCCTTTGAAGCCTCTCAGCCAGTCATTGTAACACTTAACAATAGTCCTTAGTCCAAACAAATACATATGTAAAGCAAACTTTTAGGTTTTCTTGGGGCATCAGGAGAGGGCCCTGCAGCTTTTACCTTTCCTAGAGAAACTGCTTTCTCCCCTTGGACTTTTGTTTGTGCCAACTAAACACCCAGACCTAAACACGCTCCAGGGCTGTCTGCTTCCCTTAAAGAACCTGGCTGCCCTGTTACAGCCCTGTTTATTTGGTATGGAATTATTTTATGTGACGTGAACTGGGGGGGTTGGGAGGATCTGAAACTCAGTTTGGTTCACATGTTTTTGAGTTACTATTTACACTGAGTGAGAAAACTAGTAGAGTCCTACTAACCACAACTAGGTTTACTTTAATCCTATCTAAGCATTATTCTACAGGCTAACTAAATGTTGAGATACTGTCATGGTGCACTGTAACCATTTTTTGCTTGAACTGGGCATTTAGGTGGTCTATAACATGACAAAAAATTCACCATAGACCAGGCTAGTGGCTACAATTAGGGATGAAATGAAACACCAATACCCTCAGCCCTAGACTATGCTTTTTGGACAGTGGGTGGGGTGAGATAAAGGACTAGAAAATTCCTTTTACAACACCACCTGTGAACACATGCATTTCCATGTATTGTATTACCTTTTAGCTAAGTTCTTACCTGGTCTGTGGTATTCAAACCAGCCGAAAGGCTGCTGCGTGGAGGTGTACCCACAATGCGACTTCCAGTGTCTGGTACTTCTGGGAAAGACAAGTAGTGACATGGTTAAGCTTTCACAGTAATTTACTATTATTTTGTTGGGGGTAGGGTTGGAAGAAATAATAACTGTGTCAAGGTTTTAGAAGGCTTTGGGATGTGTGACCATTAGAAGGCATTAATGGAAAGAGGGCTATTTTCAATGGGTGGACTTCCCCTAGTATCTGGCATTGTAATCTGGGATTTGGAGCCTGGCATAGATGATAAAATTTTCAACTAAGATATGGGGGAGGAATGATTGGAACAAACCGCTAGGTTCTTTACACTTGGTTTGATGCATAGGATAAATAAAATCAAGTGAACAGATTCACAGTAATGGCTAAAAGGAAACTATAGGTTAGGAAAATGGCTAGCAAGGACAAAGAACTAAAACTTGAGACCAATAGGTAGGTGAAGCTGTAAGTGAAAGGCTTGGACATCATTTAATTAGACCTGGAAGTCAGAAATTGGAAATGAGAAACAACTAAAATGCCTGTACACAAATGCAAGGACCCTGGCCAATGAAATGGTTGAAGGAGAACTACTGTTACAGAATGTGAAACTTGACATGGGGCTAACAGATACACAATGAAGTAGCAATCTTGACTGATTCACATAGACTGGAGGGTATGCATTGCCAGAAAAGGTAAAAGCAGTGGTATCTTTGTATGCTAATTATATGGTTGACTGTAAATAAATCAAACTGGTTTGGGTCAAAATCATTTTTGGGGTAGGATAGTAGAACCTCTTTTACTGGGATACAGCTAGGGATCTGGTAGAGACTCCTGGGTCAGATTTGGGTGTGCATGGGGATCACTTTAATTAACAACACAGAGAAAAATAATACCAGAAAAATGTATCATTATGGAGACTATTTCCTACATGCAGATAAGCAGCATTCTGTCTGCTAATAATGATAGAGAAGAATTTTTCCTGCATGCAACAGTTGAAAATTCTTCACCAAATAGTCACTGAACCAACAAGGAGTTATGCTTTTTAGGCTTGGTTTCAGGAAGTAGTGAGTTCATTGCAGAAGAGGTGGTTATAAAAAAAATAACCTTGAGTCAAGGAATCATGAGTTGATTCAGTTTCAATTAAATGAAAGTATAAACAAAAATAGATCTGCAATTAAGATTTTCAGTTTTAAAATGGCAGTGAAGTCTACTAGACTGAAGTGCTCAAAGAGCTAAATATGAAGGAATCTTAGTTTTGTATTCTGAAATTCCATTTCTGGATTTATATAACAAGCAAGGGAAAGAACTCTAGAATCCACTGAATGAATACCATCTCTAAAACTACTGAGATAAAGCTTATAACTTGCATGCAGCTAGCACCCCACCTGGGTGGCCCTGGGGGTGACCACTGCCATGGAGGGAAAGCCTGGGACCCCTGCAGTTATGGGGCTGCATAACCCAGCCAACAGCTCATGCAGGCAGGCTCCACTTGGGGGGGGGGGGCAGGGGCCTGATCCTTTTTTGTTTTTTTTTCTCCCACAGAGCCTGCCCACATCTCCCACAGCCAGGGGGTGAGCTGCTGGGGGACCCTGAGCTGTGAAGGGCCTTGGACCTTCCCTCCATGGTAGCGGCACCCCCTGGGGCCACCCAGGCAAGTGGCTAGCGGGCAGGTGCTATTCCAGCTCACAAGCAGCACCTACCAGATCCAACTGTTCCCTGAGCCTGAGCTGGGGCAGCACCCACCCACTAGCAGCCTGCCGAGGTGGCTCCAGAGGGTGCTGCTGCCATGGAAGGAAGGACTGGAGCCCTCCACAGCTCAGCGGCTGCTCGGCCCACTGGCAGCTCACCCCCTAGCTGTGGGAAATGTGGACAGGCTCCATGAAGAAAAGGATTGGGCCCCTCACTGCTGCTGCCTTCAGCCCACCTCTCCCATGGCAGGGGGGCAAGCTGTCAAAGGCTGCTGCATTACAAATAGTTACATTGCAAACTGAGCTACATGTGGATGTGGTTTAGTTTGCAACCTAGCAAACTAATTTAAATCATAGAAAACCCCTGCATGTGTACAGTGTGATGCAATTAAACCACAAAAATGGCCAATTTTCATCACGTGTACAAGTGACTCTTCTAGGCTAAATGAAGCCACTTTTTTCAATCGTGGGTCATGTTTTCTAACTTCTGTTAATTTTTTGTTGCTTTATTCTGGACTATTTCCAATTGGTCCATGTCTGTTTTTGAAGCTGAGACCTTACAAGTACAGAATTGAGAGAGAGGATTATACTGTGTCTTACAGATGATGCTCCCGTTTCTATACCTCAGCCAAATGTTTGCCTTTTTTCCAGCCCAATGCTATTGCTGACTTGCATTTAGTTTGTCAGCCAGTATAACCCCTATTATAACTACTCACTTTGCAAAGCTATTCAGCAGAACTGTTGCTGTGCCAGTCATTCCCTTTCTTACATTTACATTCTTGCCAAATGTAGTCTACATCTGGAATACTGTGTACAGTTCTGCATGGGTGGATCTAGGGTTTTGAAAAGGGGGGTGCAGATGGTATGGCACATCATTACATATAACACAACATATTTTTCTACAGTTAAAGAGAAACTAAAGCTTTACAAATATGTTAGGGAGTTAACACTATAGTATTCAATTTAAGATCAAAGCAAAAACAAATATGTAAGTTTTGGAACATTCACTAACTTGCTAGGTTAGATATAAGCTTTAACAAAACACAAGAAACTAGGCAAAAAATAGAATAGTCAAATGATACTGTGTCATTAGCCCTGTAGTCATCATAGTTATATACAGGGATTCTGGTTTTCTCTGATTAAAAAAATAAAAATCCCCAATTTTCGGATTAAAAAAAAGTAACCCAAAATCCACATTTTTCCATAATTGAAATGAAATAGCACTAATAGATATAGATTATATCTAATAGTGGTGGTTCATTTTAATCATGGAAAAATGTGGATTTCAGGTTACTTTTTTTTAAATCCAAAAAAAAAAATTCCCAACTTTCGATCAGAGAGAACCAGGATCCTTCATTAGATAGACAGATATCTCTGATTCAGATGCCTAGAACAAAATCTAACTTTCCTGAGCAGCTTGACAGTGCCTCCAATACTTCACTGTCAGTTATTTCAACACTTGAGTTAATACTACCACAGTTAAGGTTAAGGATTTTGCTACAGCTAAAAACAGTCTGCAGGGCTGTGAAATGAGAGATGTTACCATCAATGGCTAACAGATAGTTATACTGCAGAAGAAAGGATAGTTTGAAGAGTGGAACATCAAGGCGATTAAAAATTATCTTAAAAGTTAGAGGGAGATTAGCAGGAATTGGGGAGATAATGAGCCATGAAGTCAATTGATTCCTTCAGTCCCCACTCCCCTTGCTGGCTGCTCTGTTGTGCAGGGAGAAAGAGGGACACTAGGGCAGCTGGCTGGAGGCAGGGCTGGGGACAGAGCAGGCTGAATTCAAGTGAGCCGCACTGTGAGGGAAGGTAAGCGGGGGCCTGCAAAGCAGACCGGGATGTCAGCAGATAACAACCTAACTTGAGTTGGGATGGCAGCTGGTACACAAGTTTGATAGACCAGTCTAACCTAAATCACTTAAATCTGATACCACATCAATCCAGGTTTATCTTAGTCTGGGTTCCATTATTTTTAAACCAGAGCATGTATGCTGAACTTCTCTTCTGTTACAGGGTTTAGACCAGTTTCCAGCCACTTATGCTGGTTTATGTGTAATGTCTGTGCCTGACCAGAAAGCTTGGCTTGTTTAACTGAACAAACTAAAGCTGCCAGGCAGCATAATTTGCTTTTATAAATATATTGGTGGTAAAAAAAAAAACGGTAGGAGAACAGTTTTCTAAGCTAAAGGAAAATGTTGGTGTGAAAAAATGTACAGACTGACCATTGACTGGAAATTAGAATTCACACTGACCATTTTAAGGACTGACTTTCTGAAACAACCTGCCAGTAGAAATAGTGGTAGTGAAAAACCTAACGCATTTTAACATGCAGTAAAGTTTATGAGAGGACATGTATGATTTGCTTCCTGTAATATCAAGCGACTAGATTTGATGGGAGCACAAGTCCCTTTTAATTGCATGTTCTATGTTCCTAACTGTTGGATGAGGGTATAGGGAGGAATATTCATTCTACTGTGAGAGAGCCCAATATCCTCCCAAAAATAATACTGCAGCTCATTAAAGATCTCTGATAATTTAAAACCATTCTATGGAAGTGCTGAAGGTTTGTTATTTATATTAACATATGATATATTTTACACTTCTGCCTGTGAAAAAATAATGAATTACATATATGCATTCTGTCCTAAATTTTGAACTGTAAATTGAACTATTTCCAAATGTCTTGTAAATGTATTACTTACACATATGAACTTAAGCATTAAACATAACAGAAGTAGTACTTCTTTCCTGTAGTGCAAGAACAAATGGTTGAATTCTATATAAACTCCCATCTGGTTTTCAAGCTGCAGAAGCCTGAACCTGCCTCGAAAATGTCATACTTGAGGTTCTAGTGTGTTATAAGAGCAAGATGAAATTTTTAATTTTACAGGACTCAACATGAATGGTTTCAGGTACAGACTTTCAGAAGCACCAAGTGGAGTCAGGTACTTGACTTTACTTGACTTTCCCATTAAGACTCCCCTAATTGTACTCATTTAGCTAATAAAGTATAGCCAGGAAAGCATTTTAATCTCATTATTATATGTAGTAGAGACTAGTGTATTCAGAAACCAATGACTCGATATATATGTGGCAACTGAAATCAATCTCAGCTTAATCAAAAATGAAAGTTGTACTTACTTGGCAAGGTTGGTGGCTTTTGAGGTAATGGCCTGAAATTGAAATATTTAAGAGATTATAGGAAGATCTGAAGAGATCTACTTTATTATGTTTTAGAAACAGTGAACATGCAGAATGTGGGCAGTGATATGTATGTGCCTTGTTGAGATTGAAGACCAAAGCCCAGATTTTTGATGCATCTAGGCACTGAAATACGATTGAACTTCTGATTTGAAATCAGTTGATGTTAGTCATCAAGGAATCTTAAAAAAACAAAAACAAAACCCTGTCCTTAACTAACTTCAGCCTCTGAACAGGGTATATATCCTTTTTTGGTCACTTTTTTTTCATTCTGTGGGTACATTTGTCATACTGTATTTTTGGAACTGTGAGTGATCAGGGCTTCAGGAAATATAACTTTAAAAAAAGGGAAGTAGAAGCCACAGTGAGGAGACTGTTTCCCTCTGAATTTCTCTTGTGATTTTGTTCAACCTCAGTAGCAAGATCCATAGCCATAAGAAAGGAAATGAAAATAGATTTTACTTCTGGGCTCCAGGTAGGGGTGGAAGTGGGATCTCTTGAGTGGAACCTCTGCTCCTTTCGACTGTAGGTACCTCTGTAATTTGTGGGGGGAAAAAATAGGTAGATTAGGTTTAAAGTAACCTGCTTGAAAATGATCACCCCAAATGAGAGATGATTTATATTTCTGTCTCTGTCTCTCTCCAGATTCATACACACTATCAAGTACCCAGAGCCATTCTGTATGCAGAGCCCCTCACCGATTCAGTTAGGGACTTCTCACAAATGAGTGATGTGATGTCATCCATTAAAACTAGAGAATTATAGCATAGATTGCTTAAAGAACAATGCCAGCAACTGAAAAAGGTAAACAATAAAGGTCTGATTCTTCCACCTTCACTCACTTCAGGGCTAGGGACAGAAGTAACACAAACTGGTTTAAGTGATCAACAAGGATCCTGGTTTTCTTTGATTAAAAAAAATCCCCAAATTTCAGATTTAAAAAAGGAACCCAAAATCAACATTTTTCTATGATTAAAATGAAACGCTACTAATAGATAGATAGTGGTGTTTCATTTTGATCATGGAAAAATGTGGATTTTGGGGTTGTGTGTTTTATTTTTTTTTAAATCTGAAAGTTGGGTGGGGGGTTTTTTCCTCGTATCAGAGAAAACCAGGATCACTTGTGATCAGAAACCAATTTAAACCTGTAGCAAAACAGAAGTTCAGTGTACGTAAACCACTTTCAAAATGGCTGAAACTGGTTTAAAATAAACCTGGTTGACTGTAGTATCAGATCGGGTTAAGGTCAAACCAGTCAACTTAAACATGGGACATAGGTTCTTTTAACTCAGCATCCCAGTTTGCTTTGTAGCCCTGGGCTGGGCTATGCTGTCTGCTTCAGCAGACAGGGTTGGCCCCACTCCTCTGCTTGCTAACTGGAGCACTATCACTGCACCTACTGGCTGAGAAGGGGGTGCAGGTAGGAAACCCTGCTCAGGACTGCAACTGGGGTCTGCCTGGCAGGGGTGCAGCAGCCCCTGCCAGGCTTTTCCCTGTTCAAGGGCAGGGGACATGACCAGACCCTGGCCAGCACACTGAAGCAGAGATGAGGGAGGGGGTTCAGTACCCCCACCCTCCCCTCTCCCACCAGCATGGGACCCCAGCCAAGATCTATCTGGCAGGGGCTGCTGTGCCCCTTTCTCCCTGCTGATTGAGCAGCAGGGGCAGGGGCATAGCCAGATGCCAGCCCTGGGCTAACAACCTGAAGCAAAGGGGGTAGAGAAGGAGGTTTAATGGTCCCTCCCTCCCCTTTCCCACTGGCATTGGACCCCTGCCAGGCTTTCTCCCACCTGGTTTAAACCCCCCTCCATCACCCCTCTTTGCCTCAAGCTGCCAGCCCGGGCTTGGTGGCTGGCCATGCCCCTGCTGCTGTCACTTGAGTGGGGAGCTGGATAGTCCTGTGCCCATAGGAAAGGAGAGGGAGTGAGGGTTTAAACTCCCACTCCCTTCCCCACTTTGCCTCAGGCTGCCAGACTGGGGCTGGCATCTGGCCATACTCCCTGCTGCTTGAGTGGGGAGTATGGGGGTGGGGTGGGGACAGAAAGCCTGCCAGTAGCTGCTGTGGCTCTACCAGGCAGACCCTGGCTGGGGTCCTGTGCCAGTGGGAGAAGAGAGAAAGGTGAATTAAGCCCCTTCCCCTTCTTTGCTGTCTGGCCGTGCCCCTGCCACCGCTGCTTGAGGGGGAGATGGGGGGAGCCTGGCAGTGGCTGCTGCGCACCTGCTAGGCAGATCCTGCCCATAGGAGAGGGGAGGGAGTCGGTTTTATATCTCCCCTCCCTCCCCCCGCCCTTCACCTCAGGTTGCTGATCCCGGGCTGGCATCTGGCTGTGCCGCCCACCCCCAAATCACTATAGTGGGGAGTGAGGGAACTCTGTCAGGGGCTGCTTCCCCCCTCTCCCTCTAGGCACACGCTGGCTAGGGACTGCAGGTCAGAGCGAGGGTTTAAACCCCTCCACAATCATACTCAGTGGCCTCCTGGGGCCTGGCCTTCCCCCCACCCCAGCTTGAGCAGGGAGGTGGGGAGAAAGCCTGGAGGGCTTCTCTCCCAGCTTCTCTCCAGCCTTCTGGCTGCTGTTGAAGGGAAGGGAGGGCTTTTTCTAGTCCCCCCCCCCCCCCAGCTTGTAGCCTGAGCCACAGCAGGCATGTGGCTCCATTTCCAGAATCAAAACTGAATCTCTATTCACTTGCTTCTCAGTTCAATCTACGCTGTTTAGTAGGACTGTGTGAAACTTCAGTTGCTGATTTGATTTGGCTCAATTTGGTGGCTGAATCTGTGAATAAAAATCAAATCAGGAGGCCCTTTAATCTCTCCAAATTGAATCAAAACCCTTCAAATTGATTCGGAAAGATTTGACAATTTGAACGTAGACACACCTTGAGGTATGTAGAAAAAATGTTTAAAGCTATCTGGCAGCTCATGAATGCTGTGATGGTGGGGTGGATGGAGTGTCACACAGGAGCACGGAGGGGAGGGGTCCTCAGCACGCTTGACAGCAGATCTGGAAGTGGACCAGAAGCATTTCCGGCCCAATTCTGGGTCTGCTGGTGAGCACACTAGCCCTCCCACCCCACCCCACAGGAGGCCCACATGCCTCCCTGGCTTGGCAACTGGTGCCTCCTGGGCCTGGGGAGGGGGCACCAGGGGTCTCCCTGTGGCCAATTGCCAAGCCAGGAGGGATGGGGGGGGCCCTCTGCACGCTCGGCGGTGGACCCAGTTCTAGGTTCGCTGCCAAGCACGCAGAGGTCTCCCGCCCACCCCCCACGCTCTTGTGGGATGCTTCATCTGCCCCACCATCACAGCATTCATGAGCTGCACCTGGTTTAAAAGCTATGTCTATGGCCGAATCACTGCTTCTCCAAATCAGCTTTGAATCTTCAGATTCAGCTGAATCAAACTGGGGACAGTGATCTGAATTCACTAATTGAATTACTGTCCCTGATTCAGGACAAATCCAAATCAAATATGGCCCATTTCACACATTCGCACTGTTTAGACTAACCTGCAAAGATTGAAATGATTCAGTCAGCCTTTTTGAATGTCTGTACTCGGGTCAGGTGAAATTCAGCTCTTTTCAGGTGACTCATTTAAATCCTGCTTTAGGGTATATAGGACTTGTGCTGACTTGTATCACCAATATATTTTTTACCGTATAGCATGTGATGTATGCTGTGCCTATAGGCCCCACTGACCTCAGGGGACTACTTGCAGAGAATGTAATACTCATTGTGAGTAAAGTACCTCATTTGGTTTGTAAATAGGTTGACAACCTTTTACCACTGTGAGCTACCACTTATATCCCAGCTAGAGCTATGAGAGGCAAATCTCCCCCTCCCTCCCTTCCCTGTGGACCAAAGCTGCCTATACCCACTTTTCCCACCAGCCCTATCTCCCATGGCAATGGAGAGGAACAAATTCTGTGTTAAGGTATGTGAGAGCAGCAGGGAAGGCTGAAAATGGGGGTGCTGCAGAGGGGATGGGCAGCATGTGTTGCCTTCTATCCCCTGTGCCACCTCAGGCTGGATACTGTGTATGGGCTGGGTCTGACCTGTGGGGCATAGACTGCTGACCCCTGTTCTATATCACTAAAAAGCAACAATTGGGATGTGATGCTTTGTATTTCTCTCATGTTTTATAAGACAAAGTTTAAATTCTGGGGAACATGAACAATAAATAATTTACCTTCGTTGACAATCAAGTTATCTCTGGGTGGCAAACTTGGTTTCTATAAAAAAAAAAAAGCCAGAAAGAAATACTTGAAGGACATCAATCTAATATTTTGCATAGCAGACTTTGCTATAAAGGAGCTTGGTTTTCAGCTTTATACAAAACTTTTCACTCAATTATATAGATATAAACTGCATGGATGTTGTATAGCCACAAACATGGATGCACTCCTGAATAAACATTATAAAATAATAGTATACAAAAGTTGTATCAAAAGGCTGTTGGGTTTGTTTGCATCTGAAACATGCTACGCAGTGTAGCTGCAAACCATGTTCATTCTTGCTTCCTGCTGGAGTGTTTGCAACAGTTTAAATTAGGGATGAGCAAAATCCAGCTTGTGGATTTATCTGGCCTGTGGCAGGTCCTTTGGCCCCACCCAGCTCAGGCACAGGAGCAGCCCAGGCCATGGCATGTGCAGCTGGTCATGCCGCTCCCAGATGAGCAATGGGGCTAGGGTGGCATGGCAGCTGGATTCTGCTTCCTGGCAGCCCCAGCGGTGATGGCTCCTTCCGGCTGCCACTGCCAGTGTCACCACCATTGCCACTGAACTTGGCCCCACTGCCTAGGCACCCCAGACCATCCACCCCACACCCACTGCCAGGAGCACTAGATGAAGTGGGCGGGTGGTGGTTTCTGGCAAAACCCACTCCCTCCCCTCTTTCTGGTGGAGACTGGCTTGGGGCCCCTGTGAGCAGGGCATGCTTGGCCAGGAAAATGAGATGTGGCTGCAGGTGGGCAGAGTGTGACATCTGGGAGTGGGACAGGCAGCCAGGGCTGGGGCCAGGGCCAGGGCCAGGGCCAGGATCATGGGGCAGTGACTGGTCTAGTAATCTACCACTTAGGGAGTTTTGGTGAGCTGTTGCAGGCCAGGGAGAGGGAGGAAGGGGGGAAGTACTGACCTAGCCTGAAACAGCTCACCAAAACTCCCTATGTGGCCCTCCAGCCCAAATAATTTTCTTGGTTTAAACCCAGCTAAAATCTTTCCATAGCAATTTTAAAAATAACTTTAATATTCTTAAACAAATCAAAGTTTCTATATCATATTTGAAACCGTAACTTCGCAACATTCATTGTCTGAGCTAGAAGAAATTCAAAAGTAAATACACTGTAAAATATATCAAGTAACTTTGGGGGAGGGGGTTCAGTTTCAATAATCCAAGCTATTAGGTAAAATAATTTTGCTTAAAATATGTATTTTAAGTTGATAATATTGCCTTAAATAGATACGGTAACTGGCTAGCTCCAATGGAATACAAATACTGGAGATATACCTGGTAGTGACCAATTCTCAGGAGTTTATAGTGATTGGTGGGAGGAAGAAGTACTGAAGATGACCAGTGTAATGTTGACTTGAATCATAGTGGTGAATAATCCCATAGGGGTATTTAACCTGAATATACTGCATATTGTCATAGTAAACAATCATGGAATACACTCTGAGCTGGGTAAGGGCATGTGTGTAAAATATCAAGAAACCTGTTATTTAAATGATTTTTCTATTTCAAATTGGCAGGAACCTGGTGGTTGGGATATGGGGGAAGTAGTCTTTTGTGTAATGCGCTTTCTGGATGTTTAAGCAATTACGATCAGATGGATTTTGCAACATAAACTTGGAAGCATTCCAACCCTAGAAATATGGGCAAGATGGACACAAGTAAAATCGAGAATGGGGTGCTCAATGACTTTCATATTGGTGAAATTTTAGGATATCAAAATCTCAAAAATTTTTCTGAACCAAAAATTAAAATGTTTGGTTTGGATCAAAAGCCTCCTTCTTTGATTTTTAGATCATTTCTTCTCCCTATATTCACTTAAATTTTTAAATGAAAAGTTGTTTTGAATTGGAAAGTAAGATTTTTTTTCATAACTTTCAGAAAGGAAAAACACTTGGAATTTAAAAATTATTTCAAAACAAAAACTTTTGTATTGAAAAATTAATTAAGCCAACCTTCCCAATAAAGCTTTTGGTCCTAACAAATTAATATTTTTCCAGTGAAAAACATTTAGTTGAAGAATCTCAGACTTCCTCTATTGTACTTTGTACACTGAGTTGTCACTCTTATCAAATGGTAGCGTTTTGTCTTCATTCTCTAGATTACTCACACAAGTCAGGGTTACTTTTTTCCACAAAAAAGTTGAGGGCAGAACATGGACCCATTTAATTCCTGTTTTATTTCCAGAGTCCCAAAAATGTGGATTCTGTCACTCTGTCATGGGCCAGAAACTCCAAATATTGATCATTGTCTTGGGGAAAGGCCACAACTACATGTATATTTAATCAGAACTTTTTTTTTCCAGGAGCACCCTAGTGTTTTTCCCCATTGCTGCTTAGCTCATGTAGACCCATACTTAAATCTTATTCAAAGGACAGTTCATTTCTACCCATTATAACCCTCCACTTTCTACCATTAAATGTTTTCTGATGGTATCAGATGTATATTTATTATCAAATTTATCTTGGACAAAATTACAGGTAAGATGCTGTATCATCATGAAAATACAAAGTCAACTTACAGATGGTATTACTGGATTAGGGGTTTTCTTTCTGAGAATTGAAAAAAATAAATGGTTACTTGACACATAGGATAGAATGAACGGAACAATTAAATATCCAGGTAACTGCTGGCACCAACTACTGGTAAAGGTTATATTTTGGGTTAAACCCTACCCATTCTTGGGTGTTGTAGCAAAGGGGAAAAGAAGGGCTGAGATCATTGTATGTACTTTGTTCCAAAGAAATCAGAAAATATCCTACTATGATGTGTAAGAAAGCACTGTAGAACACAGTATGGCATTGCTTTGGAAAAGAATGTAAAGGAAGAAAAAGGAACAGGACCGCTGTGACAGACTTACCCGATCAAACTCCAGTGCGTCTGGGGGCTCGAATCCTCAATTCCGATTGGTGGAGCCAATCCACCAATTGGGAACAAGCTGGGGGAAAGTGGGCACCACCCCTTCCCTGAAGGGAGGGGGAGTGGAGCTCCCTGACTGGACTGTGGACTGGAGCACGGCAGGTCCACCAGACTTCAGGGGCAGAGCCCCTGAAGCAGATAAAAGGAGAGTGTGCTCGTCACGCTGGGGGGCGATGCAGCGATGGATGGTGAGGAGAGAGGAGCTCTGGAGAAGGCTGTCATCTGGACCCCTCCTGAGCCTTGATGGTGCATGGATCGGCAAATGGCGCTCAGGCTCTGGGAGCTGCTCGAGGCGGCTTGAGCCTGTGAACCCGGCAAGCAGCTGTATATGGATTGGCGCAGGGACAGTTGATCTTGAGAGCAGCTCAAGGCTGCTCAAGTTAGCTCCAGCTCTAGGCCAGGTAACTGGAGCCCTGTAGTGTGGCTCAACGTTAAACTAAATGCCCCAGTGCCCAGACCAGGGGAAAGACCCTGGCATGAGGCCGGGGAACCAGAGCCGGTAAGGGTTTGGCTCCCATAGGAGTGCCCTGCGTGCCCAATGCAGGGCACCAGGCCATCAAGAGGAGCCAGAGGCACCGCCAGGGAGAGGATCTTGCAGGACTGGCCACCAGGGGACGAGCCTCATCTTCTTCAGAGCGGGAGTGTAAGTTGTTGGGGAAGTGGGTCCCACAGGGCAGGTGGGCTTGGGAGAGGAGGGTCTGCAGCCTCCAGGGCGTGTCCACATCCTGAGGCCCTAAAGGGGAGGGGCTCTAGGGAACACCCTGTGGGGTGCTGAATGCACCCCATATTTTGTGATTAGTGTTTGCGTTGTACTGTAGATGTTAATATAGTTATGGAAACTCCTTAAGGGGGTTTATATGGGTTACCTGTCTTCATTACCTATATATGTTTACTGTCTGTTATCTGAACTTACCTGTATTGTTGCCTGTGAACGTCTATTGCATTGCTACCTCAGCTTACCTGGGTTTGTCTGAGTTGATGCTTATATGTGTTTATTGTGTTGATGCCTTGACTTACCTGTTCCAGGCTGTTAATGTTCATCTGTGCAGGGGGGTTAATTAATGCCTGTGCTGTGGATCACCTATACTGAGTTCCCAGTTACCTGTTCTATGCTCTGCAGTCCCTTGAAGGGGTGCAATGTGTTGCAGGTTATTGTATATGGTGTCACATACCAATTCTACTGTAAATATTTAATGTCTCTTATTCATATCTATTTTTGTATAGCAATACATTTGTATATAGTTAAGTGCTTTGTCCCAGTCTGGCTCTGTGGAGAAAGGAGGGAACTGCTCCTCAGTGGCAGGCCCCTCTCACAGCACTCTTGCCTAGCCACACCATTCCTTCCAGTTGTGGACAGCACACACCACTGGGTGTACCTAGGCTACACTATCTTATTTCCAGGTACTTCTGCAGATCTGATCCCTTTAGTGGCTGATTGTCTTAAACTGGCCAGCAGGTATTCTGAAACTAAAGGCCTGAACTAATTGGGAACAATGCTCACAGAAGTTCTAGTGTGGCTTGCCAACAACAATCCTACCCTCTCCTCTTATGCTCAACTCGCAAATAGCAAGACAGGTAACTCCCACTTTACTGGCTGCCTCCACCAAGGATAGGATTTAGCTCAGAATAAATCAAGCAATAAACAGTTAAAGAGAAACAGTGATATATGTTACTTACATGGCCCTTGGTAATGGTGATGGAGCTGCACCAGAAGGAAATCTGGATTCCTGTGCTCCACTGCTGCCATGACCTAAATAACCACATAAATATAATATACTCAATATGTTAACTTATCCAAACATTGTTTTTTACTGTTCCTTATTTAACTGGTATACTAGAACTGCACTGGTATGTACAGACTCAAATAAAAATACAGTTTCCCCTCAGGAAGCTGTTTCCTGACTTGTTTTCACATTAGTGAACTGTTAAATAACTTAATCAAACTTCCTTTAACGCTGATGGTTGTGGTTAAAATTTACAGAAAGATACCAGTGCTTTTTTAAGGTCACAAATTGTATACTGATCATGTCTTCAGTAGGAAATACTTACTTTCATCATTATCATGTGCATCGTACCTGTCACGCTCCTGAAATTTGAAATATAAACGTCAAATGACTTTCAAAGCAGTAGTTGGAAAAAAAAGAAAGATCTAAGATATTCTAGATGAGTAACAGGATGGACATATTGTACCAAGGTCTCAGTATGCAGGTAGGTACTGTTTGCAGATAATAATACTTTATAGTTCTTCCTGCATCTCATTCAAGTATTTGAAATTGTTTAATAAGTAATTAACCTTTTACACTCTAGTATGTAGACACTGGATCTGGAACTCCATGTACTCTGCAGTGAAGTAGTCCTACACTAGGGTGACCATCTTTTCAAAATGGAAAGGCAGGGCACATGACTGCCTTCTCCCCCTTGCCTTGCCTTCTGCCTCCCCCACCACCACTGCCACCATTGGCAGTGGCACAGCCAGATCAGAGTCAAGTGGAGTGGAACAGGGGGTAGATGCAGAGGGATCAGGACTCCCCACCCTGCTGTGTTTCTCTTGGGAGCTCCATGGTGGGGGCATGCCCCCTGCCCACCTAGCAACAGCACAAGGAACAACTTCATGTCACCACTGCTGCCACTTGCTGCTGCTGCTGCTTCTGCTGCTGAGCAGGCAGCACCTTGCCATGGTGGTACAGCCAGCATGGGACCCCTGAGGTCAGGGCAGTAGGTTGGGAGCCTCAAGCCCACAATGGGCAGCCCACATCTACACTGAGCAGCAGGATGCTTTAGATCATGTGGCACTCTAAAGCAGGACACAAGACATTCTGCATCTGATTCAGTCCCCAAGGGCCATGTGGGCTGCACCAGGTGTGCCATGCAGATGCTCCCCCACCTTCCCTGCTGCACCACATGGGCCTGACTTACACCCCTACCCTCCTGGCCACAGACCCAAACTCACCCTCAGCTCTCCCTCTGCTGCTGCACTGCCCTGGGGCAAAGATAGGAAGCAGCTGCTGGAGGAGGGAGCGGGGAGCCTGGCGAGACCAACTGCTATTGCAGCCACAGCAATGGGAGGGAGCAGTGGCTAGGTGAGGGCCCGAACCTTTGTGAGCTGCATGCGACCCATGGGCTGCCAGTTAGACAGCTCTGAAATTAATTAAAAAAACTAGGGTTTTGGTTCTGAGATGCAGCTGCGAATGTTAGCACTTGGAAGGGGATTCGTCTCCTCTTTTGCTCTCTGTTTTAGGTGGACATGCTTTTAAATTAAAGGTGGATTGAATCCTCCTTGGGCACTCTCGGTAGCAATCTGCTCCAAGACGTACCAATGAATCCATCAGTGATGAATAAATTATCATCTAGGTGTCCTGAATACATGGGAAGATGAAAAGTATGATCTTTAATTTGGCTACAATTTAGTTCCCAGATGAATTAAGGGAATAATCTGGCAATAACTCAGACACTGCAAGTCACTGTTAATTATAGCCATCTGCTGGAGGATTGCTATAGGACTGCTATATTGCCCCTTCTATAGCATGTCCCTAGCCTATTACTGAGACTCTACTACCTACCCTTCATGATGTTTAAAGGGCTGTAGGGATGGCACTGTCTAGTATGGCAAGAAAACATTAGAAGCTCCAGCCAGTTCCCCAGCTTCTTTAATGCCTGCCCTTTCCTTAGTTCATTTCCAGTTCTGGCTTGTAAGGGAGTTGGACTCCATATGGAATGCATTGGATGCTTGCCACTAAGCAGTACAGACTGTCAAAAAGCCTCAGGCTGAATTAATTCAGCCTTTGCAGATTAGTCTAAACTGTTAGATACAGCATGGCTCTCTGGCACATGGCCAGCGTGTGTGTTTGCTGCTTCTTCCTGCTTCCCCCAAGGTCTCTGGGATTTGCAGTCCACAATCATAGCAGCAGGACTCTGCAGGGTCGCTTCTCACTTTCTCTTCCTGCTTCCAGGTGCCTCTGGGTTTTGTAGTCCACAGTTGCAGGCAGCAGTAAGTTTAGCAGGGCAGGGCAGCTCTGTACTTGGGGGAAGGGAAATGTAATGCCTCTCCCCCTCCCACCTCCCCCCCACCTCAGACCCCAGCTGGGGTTTGCCAGGGAGAGGGCAGGTGGGGGGCAGTCAGCCATCCCTCACTGCTCCAGCTGGGAGCACAGGGGTGGAGCACACAGCACAGCCTATCCAAGGGCTGCAAAATGCTAGGATGCTGTGGGACTCTGATTTAACTTGAACCAGGAAGGGGTCTGGAACAGAAGTTTCATGAATTGGTTTGACCCAAATTGGTTAATTCTGATACTATGTCCAACCAGGTTTATCTTAAATGAGTATCCGCCATTTTGAAACTGATTTATGTGCACTAAACTTCTATTCTGTTACAGGTTTAAACCAGATTCTGATCATTTAAACCAGTTTATGCGTAATTTCTGTCCCTAGTCCAAGTGTCAGCATTAGCCCCTTCCCAGCCTGACTGCCAGGCAGTTAAACATTCCCTGTCTAACTTCAGGCACAATATATATCCACTGGCAGAAGAGATGTTACTTCCATTTTCCCTGAATAACCCTGCATGGACAGTGAGAGCAGGGAAGGTGGTACTGGCATGGTATAGTGAGTGCAGCTTGTCCAACACAAGGCTCCAGCCACTAGACAGCCCTGGTTTAGGTGAAACACTATTTTCCAGCAGACACCTGTTCTTTCAGAAATGCTTCAAGTAGTTTCCCCAGTTGCATTATTTCTAAAACAAAGAGTCAGCAGCAGAACTGGCAGATAAATAATTTTGTCTCCTGCTGCCCTGCTTTAAGTGCTCACTCATTGCCTCTCTGCCTCTCTCTTTGTTGGAGCTTTGATGATGGTTTTTGCATGGTCATTAGAATGTAAAAACAATTGGCAAAGAAGCTCTCTATGTAAAGGCTACATCAGGATTTTGAAAAAGAGTCTTTTCAGAAGTTCTGGCACCATGCAAAAGTACCTTTAGGATAAGGAACTAAATTTTGTTATTGGATCCTATATCTGGGAAAGGAGAAAGGAAAGTGTGTAATTACTGTTGAGATTTTCATACTGACTAGTTCTGGTACATTTAGAAAATTGAAAATTGCAGAAATATTCAAAACCTTGAACAAGGTTGGAAATAAAACTATAAGCCTAACTTTCAAGAGAGATGAATGATTTTGGGTGCACAATCTGACATTCCTTTAAAAATAGATCTTCAGGAAGTGTTTTGAGTTTGGCAAACTTACTAGCCACTTTTGAAAATTAATGCTAGTATAGGGATTTTCCAGTACAAAAGGCTTTACTGGAAGATTGATAATTTCATGGAGATTCTGATAGATGAGAGAGGCCATAATGGGCAGAAAATACAGAAATGGGATTCATTCTTCCTCACTGTAATAGATCCGTTGAATTGCATAAAACATCTCCAAAGAGACAGAAGGGGCATACACATGAATAAAAGCTTCTGCATCATATATTTATAGATAAATTATTTATTTTGAGCATTGTGACATGTAAGATATATTATTTTGCTATTTTGAGCTAAAGGGACATGCTTAGAGTTTTAATTAACTTACAATAGTAGATGAGCCAGTAGACAGCTAATGCTTTGGATCCACAGAGAATTTTAAATCTAAATCTGGCTGTCTATTTCTTTAATGTTTCTAATAGAGATAATAATATTTGCCTATGCAGCATGGAGATTGGTGCATCTCATTCACAATTTTAAATGACATGGTAGCTACTCACCGCTTTTTGCTGATGACGACTTCTGGGAACAGGCATTACAGGTCTGGAAAATACAGAAAACAGTTTGAATTGTATACATTTTTAACTGATTTAGTTTCAGATTACTTTGCCTAAGTGTGTACATTCTCTTCAGTTTCAAGCTGCATAGAAAGTCTTTAGCAAATAAGCTGTTAATCCATAACTATGTATGGTGCTGCAGTTTGTGTAGGTTTGAATTATGTCTTTAATTTATTGTCCAGAGCTATCAACTACGTGAAACTCACAATTCCAGGACCACTCGGGTCCAGCTCTGCATAGTCCCTTCATAAACTCCCTAGTAAACATAGGAGTGGGTGCAGCCTGCTATTTCTGGTTCATATGACCTTTTCTGTGTGGCAACGTATGGGGATGAAACTATACCTTTGCGTTCTTCTGGCCTATTCCCATGCTTTTGGGAACATAGAGGAGAAGCTCACATCCACATGTTTAGCTCCTGTGCACCTGATCCATGGGTTGTAGAATTACCGATATGTATTTATAGCTTCACCATGCCCAGTCAGCTCTTTTGTCATCCCTCAACCTAAAAGCTTGCTGAGGCACAAGAATCTCTTGGGGAGCTTGGTTCTGGTTTGCAGCATTTCTTGCTGGGCTTTGGGTCTTACAGTGCTGCCTTGACTATACTTAAAATTACACTGGCTGTACTACTCCAAGCCGTGGTGAAAGGGAGGCAGAGCTGCCCCTACACTTTTTTTCTCAAATTGCTTTTCAGAATGAATTTGTTGGTTTGGTTTTGAATAATAGGTGTCTTGATCCCTCCCTCTTCCCATCAGTTATATTGATAGGGATCAACCACTCCACCTTTCTGCTAGAGGTCATGGTAAACATCTAAAACCTATTCAAGAAAGGTTCCTGTCTCCAGCAGCTCACCAAAGTAGGGAAATTGAGAGATAAGTAGGAAACTTAGGGTGCAGACCGTAGGGCTGTGCAAAGCTTCAGTCACTGATTCGATTAGGTGGAAATACGGCCCAATTCAGAAGCACTTCTGGTCCGCTTCCATGTCTGCTGCGGAGCAGGTGGGGGACCCTCCTCTAGCCCCCTGGCTCGGCAAATGGTGCCTCCTGGGTCTGGGGGGGGGTCACCTGGAGTCCCCCCATGGCCAACTGTTGAGCCAGGAGTGCATGGTGGGGGGGCCCAGCACGCCTGGTGGCGTACCCAGAAGTGGACCGGAAGTACTTCTAGGCCACTTCTGGGTCTGCCGCCAAGCATGCGGTGGGGAGGGGGGCTGCTCTCCTGTGTGATGCTCCATCCACCCCACCATCTCAGTGTTCACAAGCTACGCCTAGTACCTCGAGGTATGTAGGAAAAACATTTAAAGCCCTGTCTATGGCCAAATTGCTGATTCTCCAAATCAGCATTGAATCTTCAGATTCAGATTTGGCCAAATTGAATTGGGACAGTGATCCAAATCAACAAATTGAATCACTGTCCCCTGATTTACAATGTTACCCCAAACCAAACAGAAGTTCACTGCTGGTTCCAGTGGGGAGGGGGATCTAGCTGGGGCTGGGAGCCTGGGGCCAGGTTCCCATAGCAATGGCTGGGGTGCTCTGCCAGTGCTGGCTGTTTTCAGAATGGGGGGGGAGGAAGGCAGCAGAGGGAGCTTGTTTTTGGGGCTCTCCAGTTGGTCCTGAAGGGTGGGGTGGGTGAATTAGACCCTCTCCACCTGGGTGGTGGGGAGGGAGCCTCCAATACACGTGCCCCACCCTCCGGGGGGTGGGGGGAATGAAAAAACCCAAGACTGAACTCCCTCTCCTCCCTTTCTCCCCTCCCATTCTGAAAACTGCAACAGACTGGAAGCATGGCAGAAACAAGTCAGAAAACAGATACATTTTGTAACATTTTTATCTGATATCTCATGCAACCAGGGGTCAGATTTTCACCCAGCTGGCCATTTTTTAAGTTGTTTGCAGCCATGCACTTGTGTTTAGTCACAGCTATAATCTGCTTTTTGTGGCCAGATCAGGTAAAAATTGTCACTTCTGCCTGCACCTGTAATTCTTAACTTGTCCCACCCATGTGTAGGGCATTTGTACATATGACCAGTCAATCATTCCTTGTTTGAAGGCCATGTGGTTGTTAGGCATGCTTTTGTAAGGAGATGATTTTGTTTTTGCTAGAATTTCTTACGCAGCTGAGCAGACATGAACTCTGTTTTACTAACCTGGAAGTGTCCAACTGAAGAGGCTCCTTAGCTATGCTGTGGGTATGAGGATGTTTTGCATTTGAAGAAGGCTTGGAAGGGAGTGGTTTAGTGATCCTAGTAAGAAACCACAAGTTAAAATAGGTATATACACAGTATAGAATAAAAATGAAAATTCCCTGAAAGTCTAGAAAAAAACTTGAAGGTACAGTCTAAACTGATTAGGGTGGGGTTATTGGACAGTAGAGAAATGGCCTGGCATGTCTGGTGGATGTCTAATCCTACAAGCCCATCACCAGCGTAAGTCCTGCTCTATTTGGAAAAGGTGAAATAACCTTGCTGGTAGAAGGGAGACTTGGGTTACTGCTGGGGAGCTTTGAGTATAGAATACAGACATTATGTTTTGTCAGCAAACTTTTGTAGTATGCACCAGCCTACTTGGTATAAAAGACAAGGCATTACCTGCCTTTAGTAGCTGCCAAAATTCAAGCAGCTGCTGGATTAATTGCTTCTGCCAGAACTCTGAACAACAATGCAACCAGCCTAAATTAGGTGCTAACAGGTCTGAACAGGCTGAGCAGAGGGTGTTTTAGAACAACATATCAGACACTGTGCCTCACAGGTGATAACGACCCTCCTGAATTGTTGTTCTTCCACTTTTCAGGTTTCACTGCATCTCTGTCTGTTGCTTACCTAATAATTTCTCTTGTATCCTCCTTTCATTTACATATGGAGTTTTACTGCTTCCCAGAGACCTGATGAAGGGTATTGTGGTACCTGGAAGTTTGTCTAAGTCTCTCTCAAACATGCATTTGGTCCACTAAAAATATCACCCACAAATCCTCACAGATGCCTTTAATTAATTTTAAGCTATGCCTTGAATATACCAATCCATAGTATTTGGCTAATGACTCATGCCACTTGCACAGTTTAAATAGCTGCCTGCTTTGCCCCTAGCTACCTGAAATGACTTGCGCTGTATTTCTTAGTGTGTAGCTTGTGTGTTCCAGCTGTCAAAATTAACAGGAAATTCATGGCTTCTAATGTTTTGTAGCTCTTCTAGTGAGATATTTAAAGCTAGATATTAAGTGAATACAATCCATAGGCTATCAAAATATACTTCTTGACAAGATCTAAGGAACATCAAAGCATACCCAGAATTTCATAATAATGGATTACCTGTTCATTAGTGGCGATGGCTTTTCCTTTAAGAGAAAAGGCACTGTTAATTACTTGGTTTTGTCTGTTTGTAGGCATTTGTATTATACAATTGTTTTAATTTGCCATTGTGGTATTTTATTTATTTGGTGAAGCACACTTTTCTAGTAAAACCTTGCCTGGCAATGTGCTGAAAATGGAATAGTGATAAATTAACCAGTGGTAAACCATGTAGCCAAAGCACAGGGCGCATCTAAGTGCCAGTGCTGTGATATGGGGAGGAAATCGCTGTCAGTGTTTCTTTTGTGGCAACATCACGTGTAGAGAATACTCCTTTAGGCCCATGCTTCTCAGGGCTTAGATAAACACTTTTTAGCCACTTAGAAGGGGGAAGGAGATTTGCTTAGGAGTAACTGCTATTCTGTAACTGACAGTTGCATCTACATGATACTGTAGCAGTACAAGTGAAAATTGCCCTAAGCTGGACTGGTTTTGCTACCCTTGTATTGCTACAGAATCATGCAGATATAACAGTTGCATTGTATCAACTTGTACCAGCATCCTTTGACAGGGATGTAGTTGTTACAACTGTCCAAACCTTCAGGCTAGATCTGTAGCATAATGTGGCATGTTGGAGGGTGGGGGGCAACAGGGTGCTAACCTCAGGTGCCAGAATAGCAGCCCCAGTGAACTCCTGCTGCTGCCACAAGCCCTATTTGGGGAACTTGTACTGAGGTGGCAGCAACCTGCACTGCCACCACAACTACAACAGCCCTGGCACAGAGAGGTAAACACTT